ACCCTAAACCCAACGGCCTGGACGTCCGAGATGGTCAGTGTCATCAGCCGCGGGAGGCCGGCCTGTTAGAGGGTTTCCTATGCTATGCCCACTTATATCTACCCATGAACCATCAAGTAGGCCCTAAACCCTATACCCTTCTAGAATCCTTATAGATACCTTTAAAGAGACCCTTCACTCTTATAGAATCCCTATAGATACCTTTAAAGGGACCCTTTGCCCTTATAGAATCCCTATAGATACCTGTAAAGAGACCCTTTACCCTTATAGAATCCCTATAGATACCTTTAAAGGGACCCTTTACCCTTATAGAATCCCTATAGATACCTTTAAAGGGACCCTTATAACTGCCCATGTAGCACCTACCGCCTCGGTCCTTGGCACTTGGCACCGGCTGGGTCAGCAGGGTGTCGCTTGGGTTTGGGGTTTAGGGTTTGAGGTTCGGGTTTAGGGTTCAGGGTTTGGGGTTTAGGGTTTGGGGTTTAGGTTTTGGGGTTTGGGGTTTTTTTTTTAAGTGCAATGGACCCTTTCTGCGAAATGATCCAGCCAGAGTCGGCTTACACTACACAGATAGCCTCTCAGGAGAAGTAGTTCGCGTGGATCATCATCTCAGTGGTCAACGACATTTCACAAACTGGACTTTCTCAATCAACAGTTTCGATAACACTTCCCTCAGGCTCTCCCGATCCGTCATGACGATCATGCCAATCATCATCACGACTACGACTTCGTTCTCTACGCAGAGAATTTTCGCCATCTGTACGTCTTCGTCGGGCACCTCGAACTCGAAGACGACCTCCATGATGAGCAGCAGATTCTTGAACCGGAGGATCGCTTCCTCCTCGAGCTCGACGACCTCCTCCACAAGGAGCTGCAGGTCCTTGATCCGGAGAAACACTGCGAGGAGCAAGACCGTCACCTACACGTTCACCTTGAGCACGGCGATGAGCATGATGAGGTACAGCACCAACCATCATTCCAAGGTCACCCAACTGAGCAAACGAGGGCGTCGGTCGCGGACGATGTTGTCGTCGACGATGACGTACAGCAAATCTGGAGGGCAAACTCGGAGTGCTAGTTCCCACTGGCATATTTTCCACAGGGGTGCCCTCAGTCGTCTGGACAAGATACAGGGCTTGATCATCCTCAGAGGGCCATAGACCTCCTGGTGTAGGAACTCTTGCCTGTTCATGTAGCCAGCCAGCATTGCGTCTCCATGCACTCCTTCTCAGTCCAACCACAGCACGAGGTACCGAAGGTAGACTGTTCCAAAGGCTTGGTAAGTCCGTCGGCAAGCCCGGTTGCAGCAGTGCAACCATCGTGTTCGTTACTTGTGTTGTGCCTGACGTGGAGGGGCCATCTCCAAGACGAGCTTGTGCATTGATGGATTGCCACATTGCCGCAGTCATCGATGGCGCATTAAACGCCCTGGCATGCGGAGGTACTCCAAGCCAAAGAAGAGCTTCTTCCATAGCTACACCCAGTAATCTCAGAAGCCTTTGTTGATGTCTCGAATGCGCTTGGAGGCCATGAAGTACCTCAACAACATCTGCACTACCAACATGAACGAGTTCCGTATTGACTACATCACGGATCACATCATCAGACATCACAATAGACGAGGAGGTAGTGGATGTAGTCGAAGGGAGCGGGTACAAGTCGTGACATATATCACTCACGTAGATGGCCAAGGTTGTAGTCGAGGTAGACCAAGAACCGATAGGCATCCACCAAAACTGCAGCAGGATGGTGCCATCCAGTCCAGCCGTATCCCCTCCAGACAAAGTAGAAGGTGAGCCCGATGTTGTAGTCGTTGTGCTACACGTCTCTTCAGTCCAGATGCCGAGCAACTCACCCGCGAGAGCTTGTGCAACGGTTCCATGCACTGGTACCGGAGCAGTGACTGTAGGGCAAGCAGGGAGGTTGACTGGTACAGGAGGAGGAGGACCATTCTGTGGAGTACCAGGAGGTGCAGGCGGTACATAGACCAATTCTCCATCATCATTTCTCGTGTATTCACTGTTCAAGGAGTGAACACTTGGGCCCACAGAGCAAGAAGAGGACGAGGAGGCCACGGAGTGGTCCCTGTTATCACTACCCAATGAGCAGCCCCGCGACCTAGACCTCGGCGAGCACGAAGGAGAGTGTTCCGATATGGGACACGATCCACCACTTGGCTGCAGTGAGACTGACCGGGCAGGTAAATCACCAGGCTCTTGACCACTTGTTAGTGTTGGTGTCGTGGTTTCCGGTGCCACATCTGTAGAGCTGCCTGCACCTCCACATTCTCCCTGCTGGAGTCGCACGTTGAGGTTCCGGTCAAAGTGTTGCGTAATCGTGTCAACAATGCCCCGGGCCCAATTAAACAGGCGCCATCTCGTCATTTCATCACCTGGAACTCGTTGTAACGGTAGATATCCACGTGGTACCAATCGCCGCGCCAATATTTCATAGATGGTCTCAGTTGTTGAAAGGCCGTCTTCAACACGATGCAGGATACAGCCAAGTGCCCACCGCCCTTCTGGGCCAAGGTCGTTTTGATTGTGGGTGTCAAGACTATCCAGCAGTTGCTCGAGGCGGTTCACTCCCTCTTGGTTAACCCCTGCTTCTTGAAGACGGGCTCGCTCAGCCCCTGTCATTTGCATCAACTCGGTCTCATCATTATCCACCATGGCCGGGTGAACCTCCGGGAACAAACCTGCATTCGGAAGGACAGGCGGTGTGGAGGATGAAGTGGTGGATGTAGTGGAGCTCCAAGTTGAAGTCCAGGAAGGAGATGATTCACCCCAGCAACCAGACCACCAGGAGTTGGAGGACGACCATTCTTGCCATGGCGAGTCGGAAGACGTCCATTCATGCCACGATGCTTGCTGACCCAGGTGGCCAGTATGGCTGTGTGAATACCACCATCCAGCTTGCCAAGACTGAGTTGCCCAGGGATCCATTTCTTGAGCAAGGTTAGTAGCATCAGGCAACGTGACCGGGGCGGGCTCCATGCAATCGGTGCCATCAGCTCCTGTTTCATCGGTGTCCACGACCACATCCTTGTTCCCAAACTTCCCGAGGAACACATTCATGATTTGCGGATCAATAATGGGCGTCGTAGAAGGTCTTGTTGGTGCTACGGAGGCAAGTGCACGTTGGCGGCCTTCCTTTTCCTTCGCGTACTGCTTCAGCCATGCAGGTTTCCACTCACCATTTAGGTAACCACGGAGTCTCTCAGCCTTGCGGGCAGCTCTTTTAGGTCCGAGCCCTCCGCGGTGGGTTCTTTGCTCAGCTTCCGATCTGGGCCTCGCGTGCCATTCACCGTGACGCCAGAATCCAACTGGCACCTCATGACTGGACGAGGCGGACTCATGACTGGAATCTTCCTCTGTGGCTGTGTCTCCCGGTCTCGTGGAGTCATCGCTGAGAGAAACAAACGGAGTGGAGGCAGCGCGAACTTGAAAATGTTCACCGTAGAACGTGACTGCTTTGACGACGACTTCACCCTGATTCTCTCCAGAGCCAATAACCTCGAAGGGAGGCGGAGGGTCACTGGAAGAGGCGGACGGATCACTCGCGTTTTGTCCAGCAGCTTGTTCGGCGGCGAGGCGTTCTTGACGACGATTGCGAATACTCCCATTGCGATGATGCCATCTGTCGATGCCACTCCTTGTCTCCCCAAAACGCGTTGTGATACCATCGTCGCCAGGAACGTCTCGAGCATGTAGAGGTCCACCGGTGTCACCCCGGCTCTTCAAAATACTGCGTGGTTGAGGTCCAACAAGCAATGTTGCTGGGTCTCTGCCAGGGCGAGGAGGGGCATCTCCAGGTACTCGAAGGCGACCACGTAGATCACGTCTGTCCACAAACTGAGCAAGACAGTCTATCGTGGTGGTCGTAGTTCGCATAGATGTGGCTGCATCAGTCTCTGACCCGGCAAGGGAGGGATGAGGAAGGTCCTCAGGAATTGGTGCCAAGGGCAAGGGTTCACCATAAATTTGGGGGTGCTGGGCATCTTCCATGATGGTTGACTGAGTGTCTGGGGCTTCTGGTGAGGTCTCACTCGATGGCCACTCCCAGCTTCGAACTTAACCAAGTAGATTGATTCACCCCACTGCTGTGCGAAGAGTTCCACCACGAAGAAGACGGCATAGAGGAGCTCGACGAAGACGATGATGTCCAGCAGGAAGGCATAGGTCCCGGACACGAGGGTGACGAGGACGGCTGAGGCGGCAGCGACTCAGTGGACCCAAAGGAGGGCGATTCTTGTACATCTTCTTCCCAAACGGCGGCCATGTGCTCAGCGATTTCTCTAGATGTCCACGGTCTGCATCTTTCCTTTCGTTGAGCATCGTCGTCCTCAGCCGTGCCAGCTTCATCCATGACGAAGGTGAGCAGCATGATCACCGTGAAGAAGAAGGAGAGGAGGGGGCGCAGGGAAGCCATGTCAACCACGGAGCGCCAAGGAAGGATGGAGGCCAGAGGGTTTTCTCACAGGCTCGAACAGCGACAGCATTAGTCATCAGCCCGGCGTTTGCAGACAGGTTCATCAGAAAAAACTCAATCGCTTCAGCAGCATCTCAACCCTGAGAAAGGCTTCACTTCACTGCAGTTGCGACAACGAAGATACTAGTAGCGAAGAGACAACTGTCGACCACTGCTCCAGCGGACATCCCAATCTTCAATGTATTTTGATCTGGCAGCTGTCCATTCGCGTCTGTTCTGTGCAAGAACGACCCAAAGGCGGCCGTTACTGTGAGACAGTTGCCTCTCAGTGTTGGATGCGAAGAAATGGCCAGGGTGACGAACCGAGCAGCGTAAACTGAGGGCTTGTTGGTTGCGGCACCAGTCAGTGCATTTCCATTGCAGTGCACGAAGAGGAGGAGGGGCTCTAGGCCGATTTTCGACAAGTTCAACTCGTCGAGACCAATGACCATGGAGCGTGTGCTGTAAGTACAGGATGCGTTCAGACCATCGCGGTACTTGGTTAACGTGCAGCCAGCTTCGAATGAACCTCATGGTCCTTTGGTTCCACTGCACCCACCCTTCGCCTGGAGCCCGACGAAGACCAAATGCACTCCTACAAACATGAGCTGCGCAACATTCATGGTGTGCAAGTCGTCTTTCCCCCAGTGAAGAGCTCCGGCAGTCCAATTAAATTGGGATTCCACCAGAGTCTTCATGATCGAGATCTTGTTCTTCCATGCCCCTGGGGCATTAAGGATCGGCTTGTGCTCAAATGCCGCGTTCCTGGTCCGGGTGATGATCTCCCGTGCTTGTTCAGACGCATCCCGACACAGAGAAAAGGAAACACCTAGCACTTTGAGGGACTCACCATGCGGGGCAATCGTGAAGAAGTCATCCCCAAGTTTTGCACGGCGGGCGCCAACATAGTGTTCATTGGCAACGATCTTGGTCTTGTTTCTTGCTAAACTCAGCCCTGCTTGTTGCAAGCATCTATCAACGATGGCAATGCGCTTGCAAAGGCGAGCGAACTGAGTTTCAACAATGAATATATCGTCCTGGAAGAAAAGAAGGTCAATATCAGCTTCAGAGAAAGGCAACCCAAGCTCACCCCACTGACGACAGTTGACCAGGCAAGAGAGCAGACTGTCAATGACGAGCCCAAACAGTTCGGCACTTTCGGGAGCACCTTGTTTAATCCCGTTGTCAGGGCAAAGATCAACAGGTTTGCCCCCAGGCGCATTCCCCAAGAGGCGGTGAACTGCAAGTTGCTCAAGAAGATATTTGAGCTCAAATTTCACCCCTTTGCCGCGAAGTCGTCCAAGAAGAAGATCTGCAACTTTTTCTCTGTCTAATTTGTCAAAGGCGCCTGCAACATCCAACTTGCAAAGGATTAGAGGTTCAGACCACTCCTTCGTCACATCACGCATTCTGGAGATGGTGCCAAGCAAATCGGCTGCTTGCCTGCCTTTCCCACAACAGCTGATCTTGGAGCCTTTCCTCATAAGCGGTAAGGCTCTCGCACATACCAGGCGATTGACTAACTTGTGAAAGGCCGAGGAAACGCATATTGGCCGAAGATCAGAAGGCTGTGTGGGTAAGTTGATCTTTGCGAGGAGCGCTAGGAAACTGGTGTGCCAGCTACCTGGTAGTTCACGGTGTTCAACGATGTGGTTGATTAGCTCCAAGAACTGTTCACCGAGCACCTCATGTTCAGCAAGTTCACGCAAGAGATGTACTCCTATGCCATCAGGTCCAACAGCACTTTTACACTTCATCCCATGCAGTTCTGCTCGTACATCAATCAAGGTGAAAGGGACAAAATCACCCCTTTCTTCGACACTGTCAATGAGGCACTGAAGTTTCGCACCCCATTCATCTGCACTGCGAGTTGGATGAACCATCTTGCCTTCGAGATGTTGGGTGATCTCCTTAGCAAGAACCTTGGAGCCGCATTCACTGAGCATGTGCCCCCACAATCCTCGTTTGCGCTTCTTGTCATTCTGGAGGGAGCGATACTGATCCCAGTCACCATTGAGAATGCGGCAAAGGCGAGCTTGCGACCAGTCTCTGCGTGCTTGCTTACGCATTCGATGCACAGTCTTCCAATCCCGGACAGCGTTGGACTTGCGAGCTTCAACGATCGCATCCTTGATCTCAGGCGTGTCAACAAACTTGGCAGACGAACGAGGACGAGTACATTCTTTAGCCAAAGCAATGAGGTCATCCTCATCAACGATGATCGTGTCAGGCAGCTGCTTGTGGACCCATCGTGCACGAGAATCATTGCCCCATTGGACTCTCCCTGACCCCTGGCGTGTCCACAGGTCACATAGAGCAATGGCATGATCGGACCCAACTGCGAAACGGCGTTCAGGCTCAATGATGACAGGGCAGGCGTGGATCAGTCTGGCACAGAGCATGTCAATCTGTCGACCCGTTCTCGTTTCATCTCTTGGGTAATGCGTGGCAGTATTGAGATCACTTTTCCTAGGAGCAACCGGACACACGCCTTGCTGAAGGAGTTCATAAACCAGAGCGTTAAGGTTGGAACTGCACGTGCCAATCGTGAATCCCCCATTTTCTGATCCTGACTCTTCCCAGCAGGGCACTTCGTTGGCATCTATTCCACACAATGCAGGCAAGTGACGGTATTTGTGCGGACAACTTCTGGCAAAGGCCTGGGCAGCTGACTGGTAGACGGTCGTTGTGACTCCAGTGTGGCAGTGAGCGGAACCCAGAACGATCCTTCCGATGCCGATAATTCGTGCAACAAGCCAAATCCCTCTCTCGGTGGCGACCTTATGCATGACAGAGTCAAACTTGTCGAGAGACACCCCGATGGCAACTCCTCGCCACTGCTTCGCATCTTGGAATGTCACCCAGTGGAACTCATCAGTATCAAAGCTATCCCACCCAACTTCACGTCGAGCAACCTCCTGTACAAAAACGATGTCACAGTCTTTGCACGCAACATCGAGCAGCTCAAGCGATTGGCCTCCTAAATTCCAGGTACTTGATCTCCCCCATCTGCGTATTGCACACGGTCTGGAAGAAGACACCCCATGATCCTTGAGATTCACAGGAGCGGCACCCCGATGAGGCCAAGAAAACTCCCCAGGCGAGGGGGTGAGACTGTCCACAGCTGCTGTTCACAGCTCACGCTCAAAGGCGCACCGTGCATCATCCGTCGAGGAGCCAGACACACGGGCAGCCGCTGAAATGTTAATCCAGCCTCCAGGCATGAGCACAATCTCGTCAGCATTCTTGGGTTGGCGATGGGTTGCGCTCCCGATCTTTTCTGAGCCATTCCATATCGTTCCCATGTTCCAATCGCAATCGTCGTTGGTGATCAGGGTGTTCGCACCGCCGTTCTGACCACCATTGTCCTTTGCGAGGGCGATCACCACTCGTCGAGCCATACTGACATGGGCCGTCCTGAGCCTGGCGTTCTTGGTTTTGACGAAAGACCCCCAAAGAGTACGTTCATCACCCCCTGCACTAGTGCTCGGAAGAATGTGTTTAATTCGTCCCAAAGCTCTCACAATCTCCCACATTCGTTTCTTGGTGTCCTCAAACGTCTCCCCGTCGCGAACCTGGAAGCGAAGCATGCCAACAGATCTTCGAGGGCCAAATACAAGGAGTTTATGGCTGTCCAAGAGGTCCTTGATCTCGGCGTGGTTGAGGATCTCACTGGATTCTTCTTCGATCACACTTCTCTTCGTGTCCTGTAGCCAACCACCAATAACCAGGGTTTTCTTATCTTCATCAGAGAGGAAATCACCCCTGGAATCGTCCTGTGCAGGTGGTAGGACAGGAACATCTCGTTTTCCCTGCTTGCGAAGATATTCACTCCAAGGATCAGCAAGTGGTACTTCAGAAGGAGGTTCGGTTGAAGAGCAGCAGGTCCAGGTTGAGGTCGTGACTGAATGTCATCCAGTTTCACTTTCATCTTTTGCACTTCATCCGTGAGGTTCTCCAAGGCCTTGGCGTGTTGTGTAGTGGTCTCTCTCTGTTGTCCAAGGTCCTTTTCAACGACTCGGGTGCGAGCTTGCAAATTGGTGACCTCGAAACTCGATCTCGCTTGCTCTCTTTCAACATCATCCAGGCGACCTTGGAATGTCTTCCATGCACACTTCATCTCCGAGACGTGTCCAATGAGAAGTTCTCTGATTTCTCGTGCCGTGAGGGGTTTTTCTTCTCCAAGTTGAGGTCGTTTTGAGGGGCTGTCTTCATCTTCTTCATCGTCACTGTCAGGTACAGGATGAGCACGAGGATCACAACGCCTGCGGTAGTCCCTATCACCTCTCTTTCGCTTTTCCATTTTGACCTTCATCTCGGCGTCAACCCCATGCTCAGAGCTCTCATTGTCAGAGATGTCCTCAGCCAGTTCAGCGGGTGAGCCAGGAACTTCTCCAATACCTCCTTCCACCTGCATGTCCGAGAGCTCGGCTGGCTGTGTCTCCAAGTTGTCGGCCATGACGAGGAAGAAGAAGAAGACCTCCAACACCACAGTGTCAAGGTAGAAGTCCTCCAGCACCACAGTGTCGAGGTAGTCGCCAACAACAAACTAGGGTAGGAGATCACAGAAGTCCAGGAAGGGAAGCACCCCACGTTGGCGAGCTCGATCAATGACAAAGATGCAACTGAACTCAGTGGATTTCCACCCAAACGAGGACTCGGTGGACGAGGAGGTTGGAGAAGACCAAGGAACACTCCTTCCACTTTTCACAGGAATGAACCGCAGCAGCAGTAGATGGCTCCACCCAACAGAAGATCACCCCGATGAAGACGAGGAGAGGATTGATCACCACCACAATGAAGTAGCACAGAATCGTGCAGAGGGACACGACCACGATCGACTCCGCGGGCGACACCAGGAAGCACACGAGCGCCAAGCACAAGGAAGAGTGGCAAAGGAATGGGGGGGCACGGCTAGGCAAAGAGCTGGCCAACGCCTCGAGCACAACAGCTGTGTGAAACAATCCAGCGAAATGAACGGTAAGACTGTACCGTCACTCGATTGTAAAGACGAATCTAGGGCCTTGGATAGCGGACGAGCTGATCGAGAGCTCTAGCCTCGAATCCGAAAAGAATGGATTCGATCGCTGCGGAAGTGATCTCCTGGATGAAAGGTGAAACGTCACCTCTTTCGGCGATGTGATGGAAGATCGACGACATCTCTGAAGTGAGCATGGGGCTTTGGGATCCTCTCGTGAATCGAATGAGAATTCGAGACTCGAAAGACCGTCCCGCTTCTTGGGCAATCCTTCTCACCTCTCTCTCATGTACCAAGTCCTGCCCAATAGGAGTGCTCAAGGGAGCCGCGCGTGTGATGTAGTGAAGCATCGAGGTCTCCGCTATGGTTCTTCTGTCTCCAATGCTTCGCTGAGGCGGACCGAAACCTCCAACAACGTCGAGGAGAAGCTGGAAACTTCCGCTTGTCACGGTCGCGACGTGGGTGAGATTTTGAGACGACTCCGAGACTTGTCCACGAACTGCGGTTACCACTTTTGCAAGACGCTCGTCATAATTTTCCACAGAGGCTGAGCAGCCATAGGTTTCCTTTCCCAGTTTCACGATCTTTCTGAGAGTCGAGGGGTAAACGTTTAGGGGAAACTTTCCGTAAGCGTCTTGCACTTTCGTTACACAAAGGTTTCCCAAATCTTCCTCTGAAAGAACAGACAGATCTACGTCTTTCCCAAGAATAGAATCCACGAAGTTCGACTGCCAAAGAGGAAGTATGTTCGCCTTCAGAAACTCATCATCGTCTTCCGGCATCCGACTCGCGATGAGGTCCAACACAGCAACTACCTGAGACTCGGGCCTGGATCCGTCAGTGTTGATTGAAACTCCAGACATCATGTCGTTCATCTTCGCGATGTTGGCTTTCAGATACTTCTCAGCCTGAACTCTGTTTTGAATCTCTGCTGTGTTGTCGATGGAATAGTCAAGCGTCGCGACGGGGTCTTCGTCTGTTCCGAGAATCCTTGATCGAAGCGTGATGTCTCTGAATGTCGCTCTTTCTCCTTCTTGGAAGACGAAGAGATCCAGTTCTCCGTGCTGTCTCATAGAGACTCGATACACCGGACCTCCGTTCGTGTCTGGAACGACAAACGTGTGATCCGAACTCATGATGAAGAGCACGTGCTTCTCGTAGAGTTCGTCGGACAACCCTGTGAGCCAAACCTGATATCCAATCTGGGATTTTCGGGTAGTGCTCGAGTTTGAGGCTTGGCAAAAGTGCTGAACTCCGCCTTTTCGATTGAAGTCCGATTTGTAGTTTCCAGCCTGTACTGGACATTATCGAGAAGGTGCCCATCCTGAGGCTTCGCTGGATCGAGCCAGAATCGTTCCTCTTTTAGACATCCCATATGCATTGTCGTAGCACATTGCTACGGTGAGTGCAGGTTGCCCGTCTCCTCTGTCTTTCCAAGCTTCATCTTTCATGAGGAATGTGTTGAGAGTCGAGAAGTATGTGTCTCTCTTTACTTTATGAGAGTCTGACCTTTTGTGGAACATCTCGAGATTCGACGCGTCCACTGCCACGAAGACAGGAGTGCCCTCCTCAACCAAACTGCTCAGGATTCTGACAGTCTCTGTCCCCAGCTTTGAAGGATGATCGTTTCTCGTTGACTCGATGATCGTTGTTGAGGTCAAACTTCCTTCGACCCTCACTCTGTGCTTGAGACTCGTCATTCTCCAGAGTTGTGCTTTCTTTGTTTCTCGGCACAATTGATTCGTCTCTCTCGTTGGAATACTTGAGCCAAAATGGCTACGGGTTTGGGGTTTGGGGTTTGGGGTTTAGGGTTCAGGGTTTAGGGGTACTTTAGTGACTTTAGTGTCTAAGTAGATGAAGTCTAGGAGTCCAGAATTTCCCAACCATCGACCAATGGAGTGGAGTTCCGGGAAACGCTGTGCACACCTGTACCATCATCCCATACTTAAAGGATCATGGAACTTAGTAATTGGGGTTATATGTAAGGTAACTACAGTTATAATTGCTTATAACCCGAATTAAGGTACTTATGTACTTATAACCCTACTTACTAAGTCCCATGATCCTCCAAGTAGCGACATATAAATTGCTCAAACCACGAAGGAAAAGTAGTACCATACCCTGCTGCACCCTAGACTAGTTCCTCCGACTGCCTTGTAAGATTCATTCTAGACACATATTATTCTTATTGTTCCTATTATTACTATTATCATTAATATTACTATGATTAGAACTACTACTAGTATTATTGGTATTATTATTATGATTACCATTATTATGGTGATATATATATATATATATACACGCACATGCGTACACCTCGCACCTTGCACGTGCTTTAAGTAGCAATGGCACATGTGAGGATCAGCCTGGGCTTGCTCTAAGGGTCCATGTAGCCAAGTAGAAGACACTTTGTGGGAAATGGTTGCTTTAAAGGGTACCATAAGGGCTCCTGTCACTAAGCCAAGTAATTGGTCCCTTTAAAGTATCTATAGGGGTGCTATCAGGGTTTAGGGTTTAGGGTTTACTTAAAGGATCATGGGACTTGGCAATTGGGGTTATAAGTGAGGTAACTACAGTTATAATTGCTTATAACCCCAATTAAGGTATACTTATAACCCTACTTACTAAGTCCCATGATCCTCCAAGTAGGGTTCCTGTAAGTACCCATACGGGGTCTACGGGGCTTCGTGTTTAGGGTATAAGGGCCCATGTACCCAAATAGTAGACACTTTGGCCCTCTAAGTAGCATATTCAGGACTACTTTAAGGCCAAAGTACATCCTATTTGGGTACATGGACCCTTCAACCCTAAACTCTTTGTTATGCCCTAAACCCTAAACTCTAAACCCTAAACGTTATGGTACCCTTTGTAGGAATATGTGTGGCGGGAAGGACCAAGCCCTGATGGCCACTGGGAGGAGCCCGCAGGCCTGACCTCGTAACAGGCCGTCGTCGTTTAGGGTTTACCTGGACCCTGAAAAACCTACCTTGTTAGGGTTCCTTACCATGATTTCCTCATATAAGTCCTCAAAAAAGTAGGTTATTTGGGGTTAAGGTATTGGTTCAGAGTTTAGGGTGTAGGGGTTTAGGGTTTAAGGATTTTCGGGTTTAAGGGTTTAGGGGTTTAGGGTTTAGGGCCTGGGTGGTATTGGCTTCCGACGCGAAGCCACACCGAAAGCCAGCCACGCGCCTTGCAGCGACATGAATGCACCTGTGTATGCACATCATCTCCGCCAGTCAGCGGCTATGGAGGCGGCTGTGCTCCTCAGCTGGTTCGTGGGAGTCCCGTAGAACGTAGCTGTCTGTGCCCTTCTTTTTGGCTTTGATTGAGAGCTTGGCCGGCACCAGCGGCAAGGGAGCGATCACCTGCGATCGGCAATCTCTCAGATTTTCTTGTTGCTGCCACTCCCTGGAATCCCGGCCTGCGGCACTCCGCCCTTAAAGGCGGCGGGCAATCAGCAATGTTTTTGATAATCGCAGCGTGGGAGGGCTGTGCCGAAGAAGTTGCTGCGAAGCAGGGCCAGCAGCTGGAAGCGTGCCCTTTGACCGAATTCTCGAAGAGGCTGGCGAATAGTCAAGCATCTGTCAGGGAGATACCAAAAAAGACTACTAATGGCGCCGCAGACATCGCCCTATTCATATGTCATATAAGAGACTTAGTTGCCTTAGGAATTCAATCCGGCCTTCGGGATATATTGTACTATATTTATTAGCTGGAAACTTCCGCTTGTCACGGTCGCGACGTGGGTGAGATTTTGAGACGACTCCGAGACTTGTCCACGAACTGCGGTTACCACTTTTGCAAGACGCTCGTCATAATTTTCCACAGAGGCTGAGCAGCCATAGGTTTCCTTTCCCAGTTTCACGATCTTTCTGAGAGTCGAGGGGTAAACGTTTAGGGGAAACTTTCCGTAAGCGTCTTGCACTTTCGTTACACAAAGGTTTCCCAAATCTTCCTCTGAAAGAACAGACAGATCTACGTCTTTCCCAAGAATAGAATCCACGAAGTTCGACTGCCAAAGAGGAAGTATGTTCGCCTTCAGAAACTCATCATCGTCTTCCGGCATCCGACTCGCGATGAGGTCCAACACAGCAACTACCTGAGACTCGGGCCTGGATCCGTCAGTGTTGATTGAAACTCCAGACATCATGTCGTTCATCTTCGCGATGTTGGCTTTCAGATACTTCTCAGCCTGAACTCTGTTTTGAATCTCTGCTGTGTTGTCGATGGAATAGTCAAGCGTCGCGACGGGGTCTTCGTCTGTTCCGAGAATCCTTGATCGAAGCGTGATGTCTCTGAATGTCGCTCTTTCTCCTTCTTGGAAGACGAAGAGATCCAGTTCTCCGTGCTGTCTCATAGAGACTCGATACACCGGACCTCCGTTCGTGTCTGGAACGACAAACGTGTGATCCGAACTCATGATGAAGAGCACGTGCTTCTCGTAGAGTTCGTCGGACAACCCTGTGAGCCAAACCTGATATCCAATCTGGGATTTTCGGGTAGTGCTCGAGTTTGAGGCTTGGCAAAAGTGCTGAACTCCGCCTTTTCGATTGAAGTCCGATTTGTAGTTTCCAGCCTGTACTGGACATTATCGAGAAGGTGCCCATCCTGAGGCTTCGCTGGATCGAGCCAGAATCGTTCCTCTTTTAGACATCCCATATGCATTGTCGTAGCACATTGCTACGGTGAGTGCAGGTTGCCCGTCTCCTCTGTCTTTCCAAGCTTCATCTTTCATGAGGAATGTGTTGAGAGTCGAGAAGTATGTGTCTCTCTTTACTTTATGAGAGTCTGACCTTTTGTGGAACATCTCGAGATTCGACGCGTCCACTGCCACGAAGACAGGAGTGCCCTCCTCAACCAAACTGCTCAGGATTCTGACAGTCTCTGTCCCCAGCTTTGAAGGATGATCGTTTCTCGTTGACTCGATGATCGTTGTTGAGGTCAAACTTCCTTCGACCCTCACTCTGTGCTTGAGACTCGTCATTCTCCAGAGTTGTGCTTTCTTTGTTTCTCGGCACAATTGATTCGTCTCTCTCGTTGGAATACTTGAGCCAAAATGGCTACGGGTTTGGGGTTTGGGGTTTGGGGTTTAGGGTTCAGGGTTTAGGGGTACTTTAGTGACTTTAGTGTCTAAGTAGATGAAGTCTAGGAGTCCAGAATTTCCCAACCATCGACCAATGGAGTGGAGTTCCGGGAAACGCTGTGCACACCTGTACCATCATCCCATACTTAAAGGATCATGGAACTTAGTAATTGGGGTTATATGTAAGGTAACTACAGTTATAATTGCTTATAACCCGAATTAAGGTACTTATGTACTTATAACCCTACTTACTAAGTCCCATGATCCTCCAAGTAGCGACATATAAATTGCTCAAACCACGAAGGAAAAGTAGTACCATACCCTGCTGCACCCTAGACTAGTTCCTCCGACTGCCTTGTAAGATTCATTCTAGACACATATTATTCTTATTGTTCCTATTATTACTATTATCATTAATATTACTATGATTAGAACTACTACTAGTATTATTGGTATTATTATTATGATTACCATTATTATGGTGATATATATATATATATATATACACGCACATGCGTACACCTCGCACCTTGCACGTGCTTTAAGTAGCAATGGCACATGTGAGGATCAGCCTGGGCTTGCTCTAAGGGTCCATGTAGCCAAGTAGAAGACACTTTGTGGGAAATGGTTGCTTTAAAGGGTACCATAAGGGCTCCTGTCACTAAGCCAAGTAATTGGTCCCTTTAAAGTATCTATAGGGGTGCTATCAGGGTTTAGGGTTTAGGGTTTACTTAAAGGATCATGGGACTTGGCAATTGGGGTTATAAGTGAGGTAACTACAGTTATAATTGCTTATAACCCCAATTAAGGTATACTTATAACCCTACTTACTAAGTCCCATGATCCTCCAAGTAGGGTTCCTGTAAGTACCCATACGGGGTCTACGGGGCTTCGTGTTTAGGGTATAAGGGCCCATGTACCCAAATAGTAGACACTTTGGCCCTCTAAGTAGCATATTCAGGACTACTTTAAGGCCAAAGTACATCCTATTTGGGTACATGGACCCTTCAACCCTAAACTCTTTGTTATGCCCTAAACCCTAAACTCTAA